CTTAAATGCTATTTGAACGCTTCGTAATTGAACTTGCAACGAAGATTCTCGTCCAATTGATCCAAGGGACAATCAGAGAATCTGAAAGCTGCTACAAAAAAAAAAAGCAGTAAAGTCAGTCGTGTTTATCGCAATTTTTTTCTGAATTTATTTTTCCTTACAACTATGCGATGCGAAGGTAGAAGCGAAGAGAGGATCAGCCCGGTCGAGCGCAACTACTTTTCAGTTTTGTTTGCTTCACGTCGGCATGTTAAACTACTCATAACATAAACATACACACACACACACACACACACACACAAATATACACAGTCATATATATATATATATATATATACCCAATGCATTAGTACGCAATCGCCTATATGATATGGAAAACAAAATTAAAACAGACGTTTTGGTGTCCTGGACAACACTTACGTTAACACACGCCCGCACGCATGCCCGCACGCCCGCACGCACACACGCACTCACATGTACATATATATATATATATATATATATATATATATATATATTTCATCTATCTCTCACACATATTCAGTTTTGCCCTTTTTCCTCCTCCTTCGATTAAGTGTTCTTTGATCGCGCGTGGTAAAGGGCTGATTCCGAACGCCGTAAGTATGCGATATAAACGATCGTGAATCATTCGATTTTTTCTCGCATAAAAGGCGCTGGCTGTGTGTATATGGGAAGGACAACATGAATGGCCGTTATTGCAACGAGTACTTGCGCTCGTAGCGTATATGTGCGGACGGTTTGCGATACATTATTTTTATGCGTTCTATTTTAACTTCGATTCAATTTAGTTTTCATGTTGTACGGCTACAACTAAATTAACCAATGTTTTATACTTGCTTTTTTACGTCGGGCCGAAGCATTTTCTGCATTACTCAATTCGTGTATCAATTCTCTATTGATGTAAATACAAGAATAATTTAGAATAAAAGTTTCATTAGGATTAGAAAATACAGTATGTTAAACCATGGATTAACATTGAAATGCTGACATTTTCGTTTAGACAAATTGAATAAATGATAAATTGGGTAAATGACAGATATAACACGGTATAATTAATTTATTTGCCCATTGCAATTATTCTCATTACAGTTTGAGTAATCGACTAATTTTCTTCCCCATTTATTTCTCGCACTTCTATATGAAAATAATAAAGCTAAGAATCATTTTACAACACATTTATAAAATTAAATTTTCAATTATTGGCTTCTCGTATTTTTAAATGCATCGATCATACATTAAATAGAAATTACAATCGATACGCGATAAGTTAAATGAAATAAAAAACAAAACGTGATTCTGTAATATATCATATACGATGTATATCGTACAGCTATTTAAAATACTACCAACACCATCGAAACTTTTTATCGTTTAAAAAGTATTGAGCGCATTGATAATTTGGTAAAAATTTTATAATTTAAATATTCCCTATTATGATTACGCAAGGAGCGGTGAAATTATAAAATTTTCACTATTTGGAAAAGCTTTATTTTAATAATTTCGTAATTAAGTAATTGTATCGTTGATATGAGGCAGACAATCTTTGTAGAACAAACTCATAATAGACACGTTAAAGTGACATTGAAGCTCATTAAATATTTACCATTTGATTATTGGACTAGAAATAGAAAAACATCTACTACCGTTACTACTACTGCTAATGTTACTACTACTACTACTGATACTACTGATACTACTACTACTAATAATAATAATAATAATAATAATAATAATAATAATAATAATAATAATAATAATAATAATAGAAATAATTGTGAGGTTGAATGGTCGGGACGGTATTACTTGATATGTTAGGAATGAGCGCAAGCTAAATGAAAAGTTCCGACAAAAGGAATAAATCGATTGTCAGGCATAGCAGCACTAGCGTGTGCATGGCAAACGTTCGCTTTGGAAACGTTTTCTACGCTCGCGCGTCGTCGTCGAGTCAAGTCCAAACACATTTACATAAGTGTGTTATGCATAAGCGTATACTAACACACGCGCACGACGCATACAAGAGATTGCCAGGGTAGTCGGTGTGTCTGATTAACATGAAAGGCCCTGAAACACCTGCGCTCTCGCGTCTCTTTCTCTCTCTCTCTCTCTCTCTCTCTCTCTCTCTCTCTCTCTCTCTCATGATCGTCACAGAACGTATTTGATTTTCTTCGTGGACGTAAGAATGCTGTGTACATGTTACCATTACCTATACCGTATCTATGTATATGCATGAGTTTTCTCCCGAGGGCTCTCGGAAATAGTGTCATTCTACCTTCGTTCTTTCATTGAGATCAGCGACAAAGTATATTTAAAGTATTTCCCTATACGATAATAAAACCACTCTCCACACGCGAAACTCACTACTGCACACTTTCTTAAGTTTTATTGATTAGAACTCTGAACATACGAATGTATACGCTATTTGTATGTTGCGTGTATTCGTTTAGATAAGCTCGCTGTCTCTTTACTTCTGGCGCTACTTCCATTGCAAATTTCGGTAATTTTGATTCAAAGCATAAAACGAGTCTGTTAATAATATCCAAACGTATACAACGCCATTAAATGACTCGTTAATATGTGACAATATTGATTAAAAGGGAATATTAAGATATGTTAAATCAGCTAGTACGTCAGTACTTATGACTTGAGAAAAACATTAAATACCATAACGAGCATTCGTATTACATAATTCGTCTGATTAAGAATAATGCCTTTAGCTTTTTACAGCGGGTTAAGGTTGAAAAATCAGCGAAGAAAAAAAAAACACGAAAAAAAAAAGACATTGACGTAAACGAGGACTAAAATATAAAAAGTAATGCGTATTACATGTGTTGCTAATCATATCGTGCCTCTACGCCATTAACAAATTTTGTAACCTAGATAACCTAAGTAAGAGGCCATAAATTCAAGCTCTTTTCATGCCCACCGTGGCTCATGCATTTTTCTCTTTTCATTACTCGAGCAACATTTTACAACGAGGCTAAGGATAAGCGAACAAACAAGCAAATGACGCGCCCGTTGTCACATTCTTTCGGAGCCGAATGAAAAAGAGATTTTTCACTTTATATGATCCTTGCGAACTGTCAATTCCTAATCTACATCAATGTGACTCGAAATCTTCGCTTTAATAATCTATCGGCTCTAAGCATCTAAGCATCATGAAAAAGCTTGACAGGATCAGACTGCGATTGGCAATACGTAAGAATAATGGCGCGTTTCCCGGACAATTTCGAGGCTCGATCTCGGCTGGAGAAATTATAGGTTACCGAGCGCAGGCCACTTTCTCGCGAGCCAACGATGTATCTAAAGGGCAATTCCAATGAGCCGTCCGCTGTCTCAGGAACGCCAGCAACTTTTCCAGGACTGACGAGGAGGAGATGCCTTGACGAGTAGCCGTTGAAAAGCACCGGATCTCATTACGCTAGTCGAGCGACGGCGGGAATAGCCACCTAGACTTGGCGGAAAGTCGCCCTGCACAACTTTGACCGGAATCATGATTAACGAGTGTTCGTGGTACGGGCGGCAGCGGTACGCGATAAAGCCGTTAACGATAACGAACTCGAAATGCTCGTACGCTCCCTAAGAATACAAGATTGGTTATGGATGTCTCTGTTCTTGGGAAAAGGGCCTCTGCTCTCGGCGAGTGCACTTTGCGCGGCAACAGCACGCGCGAGCGCCGCCTCCTCGGGAACCCAGCTCCTTCTGCCTGCACTCGTAGATATTTCATGAGGGAGGGAGAGAGAGAGAGAGAGAGAGAGAGAGAGAGAGCATGTACAAGCGTATACGTGAACGCATGCGTGTGTGATCGGGCGATCGAGGATCGGCCCAGCAGCTTAATTAAGCGTTTAAGCGATGAAACTGGTTCTCCTCTCGGCGAGCCCTCGCTCTTTCTCTCCGGGGACGCCGACCGACTTCTCTTCTCGTTCTCCCTCCCTTCGTTTTTTTACCACCGCGATATCGGGCGCACGCGGCGAAGGAGGAAGCTACGTGTCTATTTCGTACGGGGAATCGATGAACTTTCATAGGGCTGCGCGATTGCGCAATCGTGTATCCGGGAGACGAGGGTGGCGGCTGATTTGGGCGGGAGGGGGAGGGAGTTCTCGCGATTGAGGGAGGGAGATTGTAGGACGCGCGCGAGCGGGACGAGCCGTCGCGCGACAAGTGTTTTGTGGGAAATTATACGAGATCTCTTGATCCTCGTTAGCTGTGGAATTACCTGTTTACATCGTGTCTTGCTTCTTTTTCTTTTTTTCTTTTTTCTTTTTTTGTTATGCCATATTGTGTAGTGGAGGAGTCGTTATCCGTATTTTTATAACTCTACGCGGTCCGCACTATTACCTACACGTACTCGTGAAAGGTATTTATAGCGCCATTTTTCTAATGCCACTTATCGGCTCAATTAACTTTTGTTAACTCGACGCTCATATTGTTTTCCCTAGCATCTTACCCATCCATACTCGGCTCACTCATTTCACCATTAATTTAATCTCAAATTTTTTTCATTTATTTATCTACGATAATATCGAGCTTAGGCCCTTAGAAAGGCCAGCATCGATTCTTATAAATGGTGTACCGTTTGCAAGTTACGAAACAAATGCAAGTTACGAACGAACGTAATAGCGTAATTTGAGGAAAGCAGATTTTCGAGTGGGTATTATGCAATGATAATCTGTCATTTTGAAAAATTGACGCCCCGAAGAATGGTCGAAAATATTGATAAGACGCGTGCTTTATCCACGCTAATCATGAAAATGTAAAAAATTTTCTATCCAAAGCATTTTTTTCGTTTTCATAGAAAATTTTTTTTTGTTTTTTGACAAATATCGATAAATATTATAATGCGTCGTTGGTAGCGATACGCGAGGAGCCTGAAAATACAAGACAATGTGAAAGTATGAAAATAGCATAAAGGCAAAAGCTTTTAGAGATGTTGTAAAGAAGCTTTGCGTAGTTTTTAAGCGATATCCTTCCATTGTGCGTTAATGGCGTCGCAGCAGCAACAGCAACAGCAACAGCAACAGCAACAGCACTACAGATATGCAAATACATCTGTAGGCGCCATGGCTGAAGCGAGACTTCGGTGCACATGAAGTCGGGGGTGCATTAAGGGATTTATACGTCGGTAAACAAGCCTCGGTTATTTACGTCGTTTTTTACGTATTGTACGTTTGTTTGCTTCTTTTCCGATTTTTTGTTAAATTCATTTTTTTGGGTTTATGCTCAGGCTCACATTGTAAATCATGAGATAAAATCGGTAATTGCCCGAATATAACCACGGTCCTTTTCCATTTTGCGCAACATTTATAATCACTTTATTAAATTATAGAAGGGCCATTTTGAAGAGTAAATGTGTCGTGAATAGTACGCGAGTAAGGTAATAAATGGCCGATAGATGACGCTTAAATGATCTTAATATTCAAAAATTTATAATGTGCTTCGCTATTAAGAGTCTCGGCGTGTTGGAAAGCTGTCGAAGCTCGCACTACTTATTCTCCAACGTCTTAATCTTCGACAAACAAAACGAGTTGGAATAATCTATCGTTCTCTCTTTATTAGCTGCACGTTTTCATTTATTACGATAGTTTCACAAGAAATACTCTTATTTTTTTTCGAATGTCGGGTATTTATATAAGTATAATTTGAGCTGAAAATTAATAATTGTTAGTTTAAAAATTGACGGATCAGTCGGATGGAATAAGAGTCTGCATTATCGTGAATGAATCGTAGTGAACGTTGTCGATTAAGCATTTTTCCTTCACATTTTCATACAAGTATGGGTGATTGATACATTATTCTTGCATATCAAACGTTGACAAATTAACATTACCACTCCATTTAACATCTTTAAATGGAAAAATAGTTTAAGGCACATACATATATAAATAAAATAAAAAAGTGAACCACAATGAACCGAAGTAAATTATTTTAACGCCATTTTTAATGGAGTTCGACTGTGTGGCATTTAACGAGCATTGGAATTCCCAACAATGACAATGTGCAACGAAACACGTTTCCTTCGGATCGCAAAGTAAGAAAAATATTCAAGTTTTCCAAACGATATCACTATTATCTCAGTACGAAGTAATTCTCGTTTATCGTGCTCCAACATCTACAAGCCATACAATAAGCTCGTAATAAAATCGGCTCGGCTACGCGCTAACAATCCTCCCATCGACCCTATTTCCATAGTTCGTCAAACACCCTCGAGTTTATCTGCCAATCGGACAATCGAGATTTTTCGCGCGCGCGCGTCACCATACGTGCTTCAGTCAGGGGGAGAAAGTGCGATGCGTTCACGTTGTAATCGGTGCTCGAATGTAAGAGGTAGGTCACAATGGAGAAAAAGTGCCGCCGAGATTGAAAGAGAGAGACATAGACAGAGAGAGAGAGAGAGAGAGAGAGAGAGAGAAGCCTTGGCGAAGACGGTTCGCTGCGCTCGAGAGGAGTTGTGCAGCGAGTGAGATCGTCGTCCGAGATTATCATACTAAGCGATGCTGTCCATGTAACACTTTAAAGGTAAAAACGAGCCGCTCAAGGTCGAGTAATTTCAAAACTTGCGCCACTCCGTTGTACTTTCCGAGAAATGTGATTATTACTACGAGGATCGCGGACCTTGCGGATATTGACTTACGCGCAATTGTACATACCTTCGGCATTCGAAGACGCTCATCGATTCTACAGAGCAAAGCCGCTTCTTACCGATCACGGCGACTCTTTTTACTTCTTTTTTTTTTTTTTTTTTTTTTTTTATAGCTACTCTAGCTCGTAATATATCCGTAGATGGAAATTTTATTTCGTAAACGCTCGAGATACTCGTGAAAATTCCTGGGAAATCAACGAGCCGCGAGTACTGCTACTTCCACAATCCAGTTAGCTTGTGAAATTTTTCAATCCACTTCGCGAAATCCGACGAGCAACTCTTGTCTCGCTCTTTAGCTCTTAATCTACAACGATCTACATTGCTAATTACGTAGAATATTCGCAAATAGTTTTGGGGAACTATGATGCGTTTGCCCTTATGTAGTTTATGAGTGTAAGGATCAGGTCGCTGATAACAGTATCGTCCTCAAGAGCCATTTATAATATTATCGAGTTCACGCGAAGTTGTCAGATTAGCTTTAAAAAGAAAAATGTGTCGACACATTTCATGAAATATTTTATCAAATCACCTGCAGAATACTCATTAAATTTATATTCTTTTTAAACATCATAATGATATCTAGACTAATCATATTAACCAACTAATACTTTTTCAATAAATTTTGAATGGCATTAGTTAACCAACCTTTAGCCAGCGAGAAGAATATCAGCTTTCGAGGTATCAATGGTAATGTAATTTTATTGCTATTGGTGAGTTATTATTTATTAATATTGTTAATATTATGAAATGGCAGATTTCCCATTACGTATCACTATACATTCTCTTGACGAAGATCGCATATCATACATATACATACGTATATTTATATCCACGTGTGTGCATATCATTATATATAGGCATTATTAATTAACAACTTAAAAACACTAATCATTTTAAAGTAGCTTCGTGTTTGAATAATAGCAAATATCCTCTAATGTAGTAATCAAACATTAATCAGCATTATCTAAAATACCCGAATAATTCGCAACATTATGAGAGACAAATAAATAAATTTATTTATCTAAAAGTATTATATAATAATAATTTAGTATTATAAGAGATTATAATACGTATATGTGAGTAATAAAATTATTGTTGTTAATCTTCATCATCAATTATGCGTGAATAATGGTTAAAATGAAAAAAAAAAAAAAAAAAAAAAAAAATATTTTCTAAGCATAATTGCAATAATTATAAGTGTAATTTTGAAGAATCGTGAACTTAAAAGAATTCATAATTCGGTGACGAAAAATTGTGGAAGTTGAAAAAAAAAACTTTCATCCATGCACGTTTTATCAATTATAATTATTGTTATTACAAATTTTATATTAGCTGACTTTGACTTTTCTCATACGAGTAAAAAAATCGACAAGAAAGTTTCGATCGCTTAAAGACGCGAATAAAATTTAACCTAAAGACACGAAAGATATTACCGGAGCAATTTAAGTGCAGTCATACCAACGCGTATACGATGAATAATTACAATTTTTATCTTTTAAATAATCATAATTATTATTATAGTTTAAATACAAAGCCATTTTTAGTTATTAAAATTTTAAATTAATATATTTCAATTTCATATTTCAAATTATATATTTAAATTCCTTTATCGTTATACATAAGATGCAATTATTGAAATACTGTCTGATAAAGGTTTGTTAGCGAACTAAGTAAATGTATATTCCATCTACAATTAATGTTGAGGGAAAAAATTTGAATATATAATTTTCAGCGATTTCAGAATTTCAGAATTGTAAATGATACGTGTGGTGCATTTCATTAAGCCGAGGTAAGCTGTAAATATTTTAATTCATTTGCACGGCGTTTCTTCGAGTAACTTTATTTGATTACATTTTCAAATTAAAAATTAATAATGATTAGCCAGCTGATTTATTATGAATTTCGCTATTTGCGTATGAATTTCATCTTCGCGGTGGAAAGAGAAAACACCTCATACCCACTCATTGTATTATAAGCGAATTTGCATTAATTTATAGCCAACTTAATGAATCATAATCATAAGTCAATCGTTAATTTGACTTTGCATTTCACACATTTCAGAATAAATTAATAATTTATAAACAAGAATATCATGATAGATAGTCGGTCGTCTCTATAAATCATTATAAATACAGTTCCAACTGGCTTTATCGGTAAAAAGAAGTAAGGTTGGACGAAGCACGCGATACATACCGATAGATGAATTAATAATGAAATAGCATTGCCGTAATAAGCCATAATAGCGCTTGAGCAACTGCGCATTGTAACGTCAAAGTTAGCAAACTTTTAGTGAGGGTAGCGAGAAAAGAGACGGACGAGCATAATGAGAAGGGAGCCAAGCCAAGGGAACAAGCCCGGCGGACCGAGTGAGAAAGAGATCTGCCGGCTTGGCTGGCCAGTGGGAGGAGGGGTTCGGCTCACGTACACACTAAGGAAGGTGGGCGCCCATAGGTGTACACGATCCTCGGCAACGGAATAGCCGTCGAGGGGAGTGGTTACTGACCCATTCTTTGATGCACTGGTGCTACTCTCCCAAACACGGTCCTACGAGCGACCCAATTATTAACAGTTACGGGGCATCGGAATTCAGAAAAATATCGTATTTGCATACAAGCGAGGCTCGTCCCCGAATTCGTGGCTTTACCCATCCTCCAAATATGGCACCCTTTGTATCGGGTAACAACGATAATTGGGATGTTAAGGTTAATCGATAGCTGGAACAATCGACCTTGTGTTGTATTAAACAATTGCACTGAGTCTTCATGCATAAAGTGGACGCAGAGTGTCTCGGTGTTTGGATTTATAAACTGTGTGTTAAATGCAAAATTCACTGATTAGAACGTGAATGTTTTGGTGAAGCCTAGCCATTGTCATATAAAAACGAGCATTTATGTTGATGTTGTAAATTTGTAGAAAGTTCGATTGCTAAATATTTCAAGTAGATTTACATTTTATTTATATATATATATATATATATATATATATATCTATATATTTATGTATGTATGTATTGAGATTTACAATATTATTGTGAGAAAGTAAGTTCTTGATGTGCAAAGTTAAAGCTTTTGTTTAAAACTGTGAATGTCTATTATTAATTCATATGCGCAAGATGATAATTTGCGCAAAGAATTTTTTTCGCTGATATTCGATAGCTAGAAATTGAAAATTCGCTAAAACAGATCGACAGTTGAAACACTTTTTTCACTTTCACTTTATTTTATTTTCGCGCGCAATAATGATCTAACAATTATACAAGAGTGACAAGTTGAAAGAATAATTAACGACGATTGTACTGAAAATCAAATATTGACCAGACGAAGCACAATTTCGTAAAACCCGAGTAACGCACATCGCATAATCCTTCCCAAAGCTCTCCGCAGGATAGCTCTCCCAATGTAATCCTTAACCAGGACCTTACTATTCAGTTTTGCTCGCGG